AAACTGGTTTAGATGTAAAATATAACACGTCATTGTGAACGTTTTTATTCCATGAAACTGGTTTAAATGTAAAATATAACACGTCATTGTGAACGTTTTTATTCCATGAAACTGGTTTAAATGTAAAATATAACACGTCATTGTGAACGGTTTTTATTCCATGAAATTGGTCTAAATGTAAAATATAACACGTCATTGTGAACGTTTTTATTCCAGCTTGGTGAGATATTGATTACTCTGCTGTACATACCCCGCACGAGCGAACTAACCATCACGCTCGTGAAATGCAGAAACCTAAAAGCAAAGGACATTACTGGATATTCAGGTTTGTCCAGACTTTGATACAAACCATCCAACCTAATCTACGTCCAACCTAATCTACGTTCACCTAAACAGTTATTGATAATTAAGTTTCATTGTTTTAATCACCAGAATCTTATGATTCGGGACATAAAGTTCAATAAATTATAGTAATAAACAGATATCTCATAAAAATATCAAAAACGTAACAATTGTGACTAAACATCTGTGATTCTGTGTTAACAGTAGTGACTAAACACCTGTGATTATATGTTAACAATAGTGATTAGACACCTGTAATTATATGTTAACAGTAGTGACTAAACACCTGTGATTATGTGTTAACGATTGTGACTAAACACCTGTGATTATATGTTAACAACAGTGATTAAACACCTGTGATTATATGTTAACAATAGTGATTAAACACCTGTGATTATATGTTAACAATAGTGACTAAACACCTGTGATTATATGTTAACAACAGTGATTAAACACCTGTGATTATATGTTAACAGTAGTGACTAAACACCTGTGATTATATGTTAACGATTGTGACTAAACACCTGTGATTATATGTTAACAATAGTGACTAAACACCTGTGATTATATGTTAACAATAGTGATTAAACACTTGTGATTATATGTTAACAATAGTGATTAGACACCTGTGATTATATGTTAACAGTAGTGATTAAACACCTGTGATTATATGTTAACAATAGTGATTAAACACCTGTGATTATATGTTAACAATAGTGATTAAACACCTGTGATTATATGTTAACAATAGTGATTAAACACCTGTGATTATATGTTAACAATAGTGACTAAACACCTGTGGTTATATGTTAACGATTGTGACTAAACACCTGTGATTATATGTTAACAATAGTGACTAAACACCTGTGATTATATGTTAACAATAGTGACTAAACACCTGTGATTATATGTTAACAACAGTGATTAAACACCTGTGATTATATGTTAACAATAGTGATTAAACACCTGTGATTATATGTTAACAATAGTGACTAAACACCTGTGATTATATGTTAACAATAGTGATTAAACACCTGTGATTATATGTTAACAATAGTGATTAAACACCTGTGATTATATGTTAACAATAGTGATTAAACACCTGTGATTATATGTTAACAATAGTGATTAGACACCTGTAATTATATGTTAACAATAGTGATTAAACACCTGTGATTATATGTTAACAATAGTGATTAAACACCTGTGATTATATGTTAACAGTAGTGACTAAACACCTGTGATTATATGTTAACAGTAGTGATTAGACACCTGTGCTTATATGTTAACAATAGTGATTAAACACCTGTGATTCTGTGTATATGTTGACAGTAGTGATTAACTTACTGTGATTCTGTGTATATGTTGACAGTAGTGGTTAACTTACTGGGATTCTGTGTATATGTTGACAGTAGTGGTTAACTTACTGGGATTCTGTGTATATGTTGACAGTAGTGGTTAACTTACTGTGATTCTGTGTATATGTTACTACTGTCAACATATACACAGAATCATAGTAAGTTAACCACTACTGTCAACATATACACAGAATCCCAGTAAGTTAACCACTACTGTCAGTATATACACAGAATCCCAGTAAGTTAACCACTACTGTCCACTACTGTCAACATATACACAGAATCACAGTAAGTTAATCTTAACTTACTGGGATTCTGTGTACATGTTGACAGTAGTGGTTAACTTACTGGGATTCTGTGTATATGTTGACAGTAGTGGTTAACTTACTGTGATTCTGTGTATATACTGACAGTAGTGGTTAACTTACTGGGATTCCACTACATCAGAGGTCAATGATTACTTTCATTCTTATATTTTGTTGCTTCTATTTTTGCAGTTGCATTTACGACTAAGTCTTATAAATAAGATTACTGCATTGTGGATTAGGGATATTGATTACAATGTAAGTCTCTAACACAGTTCATATTACAATGTAGGTCTCTAACACAGTTCATATTACAATGTCTAACACAGTTCATATTACAATGTAGGTCTCTAACTCAGTTCATATTACAATGTTTTTTGTTAAGTGTTTTATTTCAGGGATCATCTCTGTCTAAAATATACTGCCTATTTTTGTTTTCTGTTCCGTTTTTTGGATTGTATGTCTTACAGACGGATATACACACATATATATATATATTGTTTGTCTTACTGATGCAATACATGTATATATAGAGCATTACGTTGCAATCGTTTTATTGGCTAAGACACATGTAGTTGTGACGTCATAATAAACATGCCTGCTAGTTATTTCATTGGATCGTATAGTTGTGACGTCATAATAAACATCCCTGCTAGTTATTTCATTGGCTCGTATAGTTGTGACATTATATTAAACATTACGCGATTGGCTCAAATATATTTACTAGAGAATTTCAAGAAAATTAGACTGGTGTTCTAATAAGGTAGAAGCAGCCTGGATCTAACTGCAGCATCCTAATAGCCTATATAGAAGTTAGGTTTATTTATACACAGCACTTATAAATATAGAAGTTAGGTTTATTTATACACAGCACTTATAAATATAGAAGTTAGGTTTACTTATACACAGCACTTATAAATATAGAAGTTAGGTTTATTTATACACAGCACTTATAAATATAGAAGTTAGGTTTACTTATACACAGCACTTATAAATATAGAAGTTAGGTTTATTTATACACAGCACTTATAAATATAGAAGTTAGGTTTATTTATACACAGCACTTATAAATATAGAAGTTAGGTTTATAT